CGAGGTCTGCTGTAATGATCAGGACTCAGAGAATACGAAATGTCTGAGTCATAACCTGTTAGGTTAAAATAATCTCTCCGTCCTTGTCTACTGTGAGCGTCCCCTTCCCCTTCGATGGACGCTTGGTTATGAGAGTCGTTGTCTCGGTTTTCATCAAAGATCTCTTCTCCAGGAGGAATCTCACGATGATCCCCTTTCATCTTTACAAATTAAGCGAGCACTAGGAATGCACTAAACACTTTTTAACGATTCGAAAATAAATTTCGGGGTAAATAATTAAATTTCTTGTCTATAATGGCCGAAAAAACTCAACGCTATGACGAAAGACGCAGCTCCCGCTGCGCTGCTGGTATGCAATGCATGCGCCAACATGGCGGACATCAATGGTAAGGGAAAAGGGGAGAAGACCTTAGGCCTAAATCTCAACAGTATCTCTCATGAGGATGCCGTGTATCGGCCAGAAGCATATAATGTTTAAGTATCAAACGTAGGGTTTCTCAGTTAAATTCTAACTTCGCAGCCGCCTTGCGTATTGATTGAGTTTTATGATTTTTGAAATGTTTTTCCACTTTGTCCACTACTTCTTCCGTCGTTACTGTATAGGATGGACCCGGAAGATCATGGCGAGGATACCATAGTTGACAAAATTATCAATTACCCTACAAAAAAGAACGCATTAACTCAAAAAATTTATTGGGGACTAAACCCAAAAAAATAAAGAACTAAAAAACTCCTACCGTTTGAGAGTGGTTTCACCTATTTCCACTTATCACCCTGTATGATCTGTTGGCCCGAATTTTTAAAAAATGGCGAAATTTCCGTTAAAAAAATAAAAAAAATTGTCTCGAGAAGTAAGGTTCAGATGACTCAAAATCATCTGAAACATGGACATTTGTTATTCCCTGGGTGGACGTTAATATGACCTTTTTGCCCAAATATTCAAAAAATTCAAAAATTTCCTTCAAAAACATTGGACATTTCTTATTCCTTGAGAGAAAGTTCATACGACCTTTTGGCCCATATTTTCAAAAAATTCAAAAATTTCCTTTAAAAAAATTTAAAAATTGCCTCGAAAAGTTAGGCTCAGATGACTCAAAATCATCTAAAATGTAGACATTTCTTATTTCCCGCGAGGCAGTTTATATGACCTGTTGGCCCGAATTTCTAAAAAATTGAAAAATTTCCTTTAAAAAATGTTTAAAAATTGTCTCGAAAAGTTAAACTCGGATGACTCAAAATTATCTGAAATGTAGACATTTATTATTCCCTGGAAAACAGTTTATACGACATTGTGGCCCGAATTTTCAAAAATTGATTCCGTCCCGCAAAACAGGTTGTCGACATCTTACTACAAGATTGTCGACATGGTATCTGAAATATTGTCGCGGAATTGTCGACAAAAATCTGGAAATTATTTCGGCATTGAGTTATTAAGAACATCAAATTATCACCGTCATTACTACAACATTTACGGATAACTAACGACAAAATCGATCGCCAGCATAAGCTACAAAATTTTTTGGAAATTTTTTATCACAATTTTCACGAAAATATCTCATAGAGCCAACAACACAATCTCATTAATTTCTTCGTCAAAAGATGCTATTCATTTATCCACAGAACGTCATAAAAAATATCATTGAATTTTCAGATGAAATTTTCTGATGGTATGTCGTAAAGTTATCGCTAAAGTTATCCATAAAATTTTCCGGTAATATATCGTTCATTATATCGGCAGCTTAGTAACAGGGTCACGTATCGACTCAAATTTCCAACTTTCTGAAAATTTGTGTGACAAAGGCGTATCTCCATTTTAATTAAGATTTGCGTATATCAAGGTTTTTACGACACTTTTAGCACATAAAAATTAATTCGGAATAAAGAAACGTATTTCCGAGAAATGGGAGTCAGAGAAACGTATGTAATGAGCATCTAAACAAAAGAGCAACGTATCTCGCGGACATCCGGAAATACGTTTGTTTGTTACTTTAACGTATTTTCCACTAATAATCCTTTTTTATACTCCACCGAAAATACGTTGGTTTATTATTTTTTTGTAACACCTGCCAAAAAAACTTCACTTTTCGGCACTGTTTTGCATACGTACAGTGTTAGTTTCCCGCACGACGTGCATATAGTTCACGGGTCGCTTTACGCACTCGAACTTCACTTTACACATGACGAACTTTACGCACTCCACGCACAAAACAAACGCTTTGCCCCCCAAACCACTCCACAAAGTGAACTCCTGCAGGTATTGCAATAAGATTAGGTGTGTGACTTAATTTTTACAGATTTTTCAGCAAATTTATTTTAATATAAAAAAATAGAGAGCAACGAACTTAATCTTGGCAATATTGTCCATCGTTTTCTATGACCTTGCGCCATCTCTCAGGTAACATTCGAATGCCGTCGCGAAAGAGACTTGCAGGCTTCGAGGCGATAAAGTCATCGACGAATTTCCGCACATCGTCCAGCGTTTTAAACTGTGTATCCACTAAGGCGTGCTGCATGGACTGGAACAAGTGATAGATGGGACCAAGTCTGGTGAATATGCCGCGTGCGGGAGAACTTCCCATCCCAAGTTTAAGAGGATCTTCTGAGTCGCGCGAGCAACGTGAGGTTGAGCATTGTCATGCAGCAGTATGACTTACCTGCTTCCTTGCCCAGTAAATGGCCTTTTCCGATCAAGTTCTTCGCTCAGTTTGTTCGGTTGTCGGCTGTAGCCTTCCGCAGTCACCGTCTGACCTATTTCCAGGAGTTCGTAATAAAGCACATCCTTTATGTCCCACCAGATACATAGGAGAATCTTTTTTAAGTGGATGTTCTGTTTCGGGGTTGATGTACTGGATTGTCCGGGATCTACCCACGACTTTTTACGTTTAGAATTCTCGTAAAAAATATACATTTCAACACCCGTCACAATTCTCCACAAGAAGTCCTTTTTTTGTTGCCGGGCAAGCAGTGAAAGACACGTGTTCATACGTTGACCTAGGTTGTGTTCGGTCAACACATATGGGACCCACCTTGCAACTTTTAGATTTTTCTCATTTGACGCAAATGCTTAGAACTAGCTATTCGGATAACTCTTAACTGAGCTGCAAGCTCTTGTTGCGTTTGCGTTGAGTCTTCATCCAGTAGAGCTTGCAATTCCGCATCTGTAAACTTTCGAGGCTGTCCAGGACGCGGCTGGTCACTCAGATCGAAATCACCACTTCTAAAACGTTTGTACCAATAATTACACGCTTCATAAGATACAACGTCGGTACCAAGAACACTACACATTGATTCCCGTGCTTCAGAAGCATTTTTTCCTTGTTAGAATTCGTATAAAATGCAGTGCCGAATATGCTGTTTATCAGTTGCCATCGTTAACTCTGCTATTCTGAAAGGTTATGTAACTTACATAGACTTGTCGTTCCGTGTTCTGAAACCTTTTGTCCGATCCGTTCAAAACCAGGAAAGACCGCGAATATATTTCTATTTTAAATATAATTTTAAGCTAGAAGAAAAAATCTGTAAAAATTAAGTCCCACACCTAATACATTGTGTTACTAGTGGGTAAAGTGACACTTTTCCAAACGTATGTGTAACATATACTATTTTTTTCATCACGCTGTGTGTGAAGGGACATTTTACGCACGTTCCGTGTGCGCAAAACCCCACTTCCCACACATTGTGATGAAAAATAGGGTTAGATACTCGCGGGAAAACTGTTTTTAGACTCGTGGGATTATATCACTTGCCTTCGGCTCGTGCTATAAACTTCCCACGAGCCCAAAAACACTTTCCCGAAATCGTATCGAAATATACTATTGCAATAGAGGAGAGGGTGCCTGTACCGCTCAGCCGGTAATACCGCTCACCCATTTTTCTCCATAATTATCAAAATAAAAATTGTTTTTTTCATTCCAATGTGAATGTTTTGATTTGAAAATGTTATTTTTTGGATAATTTGCCTTTGTTCACCACTTTAAATAGAAAAAAATACATAATGGATTTTTTGGGTCCTAGCAATCAAAAATTCATCGACCAGTAAATAAGGTTTTTCACAGTTTTAACTCTCACATTGTCATATTAAATTGTTGTTTTCTTGTTCCTGACACTCTCTGGCATGATTTGACACTGATCTCAACTTTTTATTCTCCTCCAATTAATAATTATTGATAAATTTGTTCAATCCGCGCGGGGCCGGTAATACCGCTCAGCTGATGCGGGTAATAGCGCTCACGTCATCGCCAATGCCGCCCAATTTTCGAGAGCCCGACATCAGTGCAAATGTCAGTCGTGGATCAAAATAAAGTAAGCGGAGAAATATTTCACCTTTTTTGTGCAGAATATGTTTAATAATGAATGTTAGTGTAAAAAGAAATCAGAATGAATTCGTGAATAGTTAATACATATCATGAAATTTGTGAAATCGAACAACTTGATAGTGAGATTAGGTTTATGAATATTTTACTTCGTTCTCCATTAGAATGCCACAAGCCAAGAAACCAGAAGAGAAACGAAGAAGAAAATGGACGAGGAGAGGATTTATCAGCAGCTTCAGAGGCTATCGAAAGTGGTCTATCATATCATAAAGCAGAGCAGATTTACAACGTGCCCTATAGCACTTTACGTGATCGAGCAAAAAATGGAATGGTGAGTGCACCCAGGATGGGACGTCAGACAGTTTTTACGAGAGAGCAGGAAAAATCCATGACTGAACAAGTTATTTTGCTGGCAGAAATGTTCTTTGAATTGACATCTTTGGAGATTCGTGTTGCTGTTTATGATTATGTAGTGAAACATAAAATTCCTCATCCCTTCAACAACGAGAAAAAAATGGCTGGAATGGCATGGTTTTCTGGATTTCGGTGGAGGAATAAAAAATTATCCATCAGAAAACCAGAGAATACTAGTCTCAACCGAATAAAAGCCTTCAACAGAGAAGAGGTAACATTATTTTTTGATAATTGGGAGAGGATATTGAATGAATCTGCATTCCCCCCTTCATCAATCTTCAATATGGATGAGTCAGGGATTTCGGCTGTCAGCGAATCTCTACCCATCGTGGCCGAGAAAGAGCAAAAGAGAGTTGATGCAGCAGCTAGTGGTGAGAGGGGTAAGAATGTGACTGTTATTTGTGCAGTAAATGCAGCTGGCGAGTATGTGGCACCAATGTTCATATTTCCACGTGCGAGGATTTGTGATGCTTTAAAGAATGATGGCCCGGTTGGAGCGATTTAATATGGTTCATCGAATGGTTACACCAACACCACCCTATTTCTCGCGTGGTTTGAGCATTTCATATCATGGAGAAAGTGCTCTAAAGAAAATCCAGGTGTGATAATTTTGGACAACCACGAGAGTCACATCTCGATCGCTTCGTATGATTTTTGTCTGAATAATGGTATCGTGCTGCTATCATTGCCACCACACACATTACACAGGATGCAGCCTCTGGACGTGAGCGTCTTTGGTCCTCTCAAAACTGCATTCAGAAGAGAAAGTGACACTTTATTGGAAGAAATGAAAGGAAAGAGGATCACGTTCAATGAGATAGCTTTTGTCTTCAGGAAGGCTTATGTAAGTGTAGCCACGATGGAGAATGGAATATCAGGATTTAAAGCTTCAGGAATATTTCCCTTCAATCGTCACACCTGCAATGAGGAAGATTTTATGCCTGCTGAGATGTTGAATCGTCTTGATAGACAGCAAAATATTAATGGGGGTAAACCATCATTAGAATCAGCATCAAGTGTTAGCTCTCAGTTGGTCTCTGGATTGTCAGAACTGCAAACATTATTGAATCCCTCTGGAACACTTTTGAGTGCTTTAAACTGTACCGAAGATGAGATACTGAATCTGGATATTCCTGTTTTGAATCGGGATGTGAGCGGAGTGAATGTCATACACACCCAACCTCCAACTGCTGGTCAGAAAGATACTGATGATGTGCCAGTACAAGATGAATCCAGTCAGATCTCAGGATATTCAAAGAAGTACATTTCTCCTGAAGATAGTCCAGATTTGCGAGGAAATTCCCTTCCCACTTCGGAGCCACCAAAAGAATTCGAGGCTCAACATGTCGACTTGCTTGGTACAAATGTTCAGGAGTATAATAATCCCTTGCTTACAGAAATCACTTATAACCAGTTGTTGGAAGGCTCAGAAGTAAACAATAATCTCGACAAGTCGAGACATCCTGCGAAAAATCGTGAACCTACACATGGGGAAGGTTCACCGGACTTTGCAGATTGTACATCATGTACAAAGGAGGCAATAGGGCAACCTCATGAATCATCTGAGTCTAATCGAGGAAGTTCGATTCTCCCAGAAATATCACGTAATCGAAGACCTATTCAACACTCTCGATTGAGATCTAATTCAAGTCCACCATCCTCCAGAATAAATACCCAAACCGACCAACAGATACCAATAATAAAAAGGGTAACCCCAAGTTCCTCATCATCGTGCCTGGTGTCGTCTTTATCTGAACTTTCAGAGCGTATGCAAGCTTCAACTTTCACCACTCCTACAACAATTCCTCCCTTGACCACTTTATGTCCAAGATCATCACCGACTTCAGTGCCTAATCAATCAACCCCATTTTCCCACTTAGTGGAAAAACTTTTCCCTCCTCAGGTTCCACCTCCTTCTGCTCTCTCCTCCTCGGGTCTTTCTTGGAATTCATCGACTCCCCAGATTGTCATCATGAATATGTCATCCAAGCCTTCAGAGACAGTCCCCCTGATGGAGAAAGCACATGTGGATACTCCTCCAGTTAAGAAAGGTTCAAAGAAACAACACTCGACAATATTGACTGATTCTTCAATGAAAGAAATTCTAGAAATCAAACATCAGAACCGAATTGAGACAGATCAAAAATCTCGTCAAAGAGCAAAGAGAGCCCTAGTGAAGAAGGAAAAGAAATGTTCTCCAATTGAGAAAAAGAGGAGAGTTAAGAAATTATCACCACCGAAAAAACCAAAAGGTACATATTTTTCACTGTAACATTTTTCTTTTTATCTATTTAACGCGGAATTAGGGTTTATATTATTGTGAATTTGAATCTAATCAAAAATGAAATCATTAAGAATTCAGTCTGAAATCAAAAGTAAACTCGTCCAAAATTTAGTTTTTAATTAAATTTCAGATCGTAAATTCCTCATTCCAGTCAATTCAAATAAATTTTCAACATATGGCAAATTTAGAAAAGAAATTATTTGACTTCCAGGTATTTCCGCAAATCATGTGAATGCTGCGTTGTTAGAAATTCAAAGATTTTCAAATGAGATCTGAGGAGAAATTTTTAAATAATTTATTTCTGGTATTTAAAAAATCATAGAATCTAATCATTAATTTTTTTCGATTTCAGTCCCGAAGAAGACACTTGACAGAAATAAAAAAGTAAGAAAGGTGAGACAAAAGACGTCAATGATCAAAGGGATGCTGTTTGCCCTGTGTGTCAGGAATTCGGAAAAGAAGAAGTGTGGCACAGGTACAGGATGTGTGGAGAATGGTACCATGCTGCATGTGTTTCAGCTATAAGTGCTGATGATTTCGAATGTGATAATTGCACGAAAATGTAGAATGATTTGTGTTCTAAATCCCTCCGAAACAGTTCAAACTTTATTTGCCATGTGATACTAAATATATCATAACGAGGTGGTGCCAAAAATTGTAGAGATTTAGGATATTTCATAAATAATAATTGTAAATTTTCTATTTTTCATATGGTCTCATCAACATTACAGAGATTTGTAATGTTCTATAAAAATAATAATAATCGTTCAGTTGGAATGCATCTATTTTATTTCGCATGTCATCCCGCTAACTCCAAAAAATAGAAACCTCCCTCCTTCCAATAACACTTAAATAATTGATAGTAAACAGGTAAAATTCATTGATTCCCTCAACAATGAAAATTATAAAAAAAATTTCCATTCAGTACCCGCAGGAATATAAATAAATCGACTCAGCTATTTGGAAAGCACTTTTAATGAATAAAAAGACTGAATCGAGTGATAATAAATATAAATTGACGAAGTGGAATAAAAACTGTTGGAGACTTCAGATGTTTTTCAGAAAAAAAAAAGATAAATGCTCAATCCTATCGATTTAATTTTTTATGTAATTTGATTGGGTCCAAATAAGCCGCTCAACAAGTGGCGGAGTGAGCGATACAAGTAGCGGAGTGAGCGATACAGGCAGCGGAGTGAGCGGTATAGGAATCGTGCCGAGCGGTATTACCCGACAGCAGGTAATACCGCTCAATCGTGTCTTACTTCAGTTTTTTATTAATTTTGAAAATTCTGAGTAGAGTTGAGTTTTGAAACTTGAGAAATGATTCGTTGGATAGTGGAAAAAGATATTAAAATAATTGTTTGCATTCGATGTTGAGGTTTAAAGCTTAAAAATGACGTTTTCCCTTAGGTGGGCGGTACAGGCACACCCTCTCCTACCTGTCAGAGTTCACTTTTATGACTTCTTTGGGGGCAAAGCGTTCGTTTTGTGCCCGGAGTGTGTAGAGTACAAGGTCGGGCAGAAAACTAATACTTTACGCCCGCAAAACCGTGCCGAAAAGTGACCTTTTTTGGCACGTGTTACAAAAAAATAGTATGTGTTACACGTGCGTACGGAAAAGTGCTAGTAACCCAATATACTATTTGGTAACAGAAAAACGTACCTCAAAAATAAATTGAGATCAAAGTTTGACATTTTTTGCATGGAGGTAATTTAAAAGGTTTAAGTATCCCATACATATACTGCTTCTCTGCAGAGAATGATCCTCGGTATTCGACCCCCACTCACTCCTCAAATTTCCACTTGTGCTTGTATCCCCACTACTTGAATCGACGTACATTCTCGGCGGAGAAGCAATATAGGAAGGGGTGTTTAAATATCGAGAGTTTCAGATTTGAGGAAGGGGGTTTCACATATGGAGATTATTGAAAGGGAGGCTTAATTAATTGGGTGGAAAGGTTTATATGGGTGATTTTATGTGAGAGGGACTCGTTTGTGGGGAGTTCATCTATGGGGAGGGGGGGATGTTTAAAAAATGCGAGGAGGTTGTATGAGAGGGGCATACATGGGGTGATTTTATATGTGTGAGGGGTTTATACACGGAGGGGGAAGGGAGGGGGAAAGGGTCTCATATTTGGGATTTTGGGAAAAGGCGGCTTCGTCGATGGGGAAAGTTTTACATGAGGGGATGTTAGTGTGGGAAAGGGTGCATGGGGGGCGGTTGTATTGAAATTCCGATGTACAGCCCCCTCTCGTCCGTAGTGAACTTAGCCCGTCGGTGAATTTTTCAAGCACATCTCCGAAACTAAAGGAGATAACAAATTTTTACTGAAAAATGGGGGGGGGGGGGATTGAAAAATTGGGGGTTGTGCATTGAAAATTCACAAAAAAATTGAGAATCCGTCCTCTGCCCCATTTTCCAGTAAAAATTGACGATCTCTCTTAGTTTTAAAGATATCCTTGAAAAATTCACCGACGAGCTTGGTCGAATACGAGAAAGGGGTGGCTGTACATCTGAACACACGAGTTATAATACAATGCTCGAAGAATAAGGGTCAGAATACACAATTCAAAATATAAGAGTCACGAGGTTTGTAAGTGAAGCGATCAGATGGCGTAACCCCGTAATAATTATGAATTGAATAACTTATATTAAAATTGATGCTGACACTCCTTCAATCCCATCCTAGATTTCTTTTTCATACTGAATTGCAAACGAAACAAAAAATTATTAGGATAAAAAGAATTATTATAAATCCTTTCAAAGGATAATTATAAATAATATCGTCATTAGGACGGATTTTATTAATTTTTCTCTCTTACCCTTCTCCTCCTCATGAATTGCCATCGTAGATTATAAAACTTATTCAAAAGATGGATTCGGTACTTGAAGGATTCATCAATTGCTCAACTCACGCCAAGGTAAGACTTCAGAATAGTCTTAAACTTTGGATCTGAATTGGTGCACATATCTTATATTTGCTGACTCTTGAGTACCACGTAACTGAATTGAACTGGAAGATCTGAAATTTATAGCTTACATTTTGAATCTTAATATATAAGAGAGAAAAAAAGTAGGGGGCCGAGGTTATCCGGCAAAGGTCTATGACCATTACTTTATGTGTTAATCGTCGTTCTTATTCTTTATTTCTACTAATCCAATTAGTAGTAAGCTTACGAATGAATTCATTTTATGTGAAAAACGTTTTTCACGTTAACTGCTCTATTTCAAAAAGTATCGAATTGATCAATTTGAAATTTTACACAGGAGTGTAACTGGATGATACTGTGGAGCATTTTGTTGTCTCCACTCAATGAGTCACCAATATTCGTTAACAAATGATAATAGTTTTTATTCTTGGAACTAGGGTAAATTACAATAGTCAGGTAACTATGATCGTCAGTCTATATAAATTATTATATGCTACAGCTGTAGCTACTCGAGATAGTTGCGAGGGAACAACTTGTCCTTCCGCTTGCTAGAAGAGGTTGGCGCTCGATCTGAAGGTAAGTAGGACGATGTGGCTTCGTCGGTACGGTCGAAAACTGTGGTGTTCTCCCGACGGGTAGACGGAGTAGCCACATGGACTCCCCCACGAGTGTCTTGCTGAGAAGAAAGTCTGAAAGATACGATTTTTTTATTATTAGCTTTTTTGTATGTTTTTACCGGGTTTTGCAGTATGGAAGTTGGTTGAAGAGGATGCTCCATTCCTGGAGATGCTGAGATAATTGGGTCCTCATTCACAACATATGCTGGTTTCAGTCTTTCAATGGATATTATTTTCTCTCTACCCTCCACATCTAGTTTGAACGTCCTATCATCAATACGCTGGATGATCCGGTATGGTCCAACGTATGGTGGCTCTAGTGGTGCCTTCACCTGATCGTAACGTATGAAAACGTGCGAACACGTGTAAATGTCCTTGAGGAGGAACATCCTGGTTTTGGAGTGGTGTGCTGCGGGGGTGGGTCGAATGCCACGCATGTACTCCCTATGCTTTTCCAAAAACACTCGTGGATTGGCCGGAGGATCTTCATGGATGAAAAATTCTCCTGGAACTTGTAGGGTGGTTCTGAAGAGCAGATCAGCTGGGGTGGCTTGCAGGTCCTCCTTGAAGCTAGTTCTGCGTCCGAGAAGCACTGTAGATAGAATATCAGGCCAAGGTTTTGGTGAGCACTTTAGAACCGCTTGCAGGGTGCGATGCCAACGCTCTATCATGCCGTTGGATGCAGGATGATATGGCGTTGTCCTGACTCTCTTTGCTCCAATGAAGTTGGTGAGTGCTCGAAAATGTTCCAACTCAAACTGGGCCCTTGGTCTGTGGTTATGGTGAGAGGTGTACCAAATATCGAAATCCAGTGATCGAAGAGGGCTGTAAGCACTGTGTCTGCCGTCGTGTTACGCAACGGGATAGCTACTGCCCACCTAGAGAATCGATCGATTATTGTCAGACAATATCGAAAATTCCTTACCTCTGGTAAGACAATGAGGTCTAGGTGTAGATGGTTGAATCGATTGTCTGGAACGTCCATTTCCTTTGGTGGGAGTCGACTGTGCCGTTGGATCTTGGATTTTTGGCAAGCTAGACACTCTCGAGACCATGCGATTGCGTCTCTCTTGATTCCAGGCCATATATACTTCTGCTTCAGATGATGAGAAGTGGTTTTTCCGCTGGTATGTGCCAGGCCATGAACACTGTTGAAAGCTTCACTCCGAAGAGGGTTTGGAATGTATAGCCGAACAATCCCTGCAGAAATATCACAATGAATGTCTATACCTGGTTCAATGGAGAGTTTCTGGAGTTTGAGTGATGAGTTCTTGATCAGATCAGGCAATTCATCATCAAGTTCTTGTTCTCGCTGTATGGTTTCAGAGTTGAGTGGGGTAGGCATGTTGATGGAGTTGATGGCATTGATCCTTGAGAGACTATCAGCCACTACATTATCTTCGCCTTTCACATAAATTATGTCTATTGAAAATTGAGAAATGTAGTCCAGTTGTCGCAGTTGCCGGTCTGATGCTTTTTCTAATTTCTGTTTAAAAGCATATATTAATGGCTTGTGATCAGTTCTGATTATAAACTCCCGACATTCGAGTAGATGTTTGAAGTGTTTGATTGCGGAAAAAATAGCAAGTAACTCACGGTCATAGGTAGAATACCTAGTCTCGGTGTCACTAAGCTTTCTCGAGAAGAATGCAACTGGTGTCAAGAAGTTATCTTCAATCTGGTCTAAAACGGCTCCAATGGCTGTTGTGGAGGCGTCAGTGGGGAGTATGAGAGGCACTACTAAGAAGGCTGTCAGTGCGATGGAGGCCAGGCTCTGCTTGCTGATTTGAAAGGCTTCTTCACTCTCAGGGGTCCAGATGATTTTAGTTTTGTCATTCTTCTTGGTGGAGTTCTTCAGATCCTCGTTCAAGGGAACCTGGTGATATGCTGCTTTGGGAAGAACACAACGATAGTAATTTATCATCCCCAAGAACCTTCGTAGTTCGATGACTGTTTCAGATTTTGGGAAGTTGATAATTCGTTCAACTCTCTCCGTTGATGGTCGATAACCCTGGGAATTAATGTGGAAACCCAGGTAAGAGACTTCCGGTTGTCCAAGGCAGCTCTTATCGAGGTTGATCGTGAGTGAATGTTTCTCAAGTCTCTCAAGGACTA